CCCCAGCTCTTACATGCATAAATAAATAAGAAAAAATCTTAGATAAAATAGTGTATTTTTAAAAAAGATTTATTTATTTTATTTATGCAAGCACTGGGTACAGTCAGAAGCGCGGGAGGGTGAGAGAATTCACCAGAGCCAGAGCGGGGAGCAGAGCAGGCAGAGGGACCGAAGTACACTGCTGAGGGGAGCAGCGGGCGGCAGGAGAGGTCTGCGCGCCATGTGGGACCCTCCTCTGGTGGCCGGGGAGCAGCAGGGGATCGAACTGGCACTGCAGAGGCCGGGGGCAGCTTTGCAACCCAGCGCTCAATAGCTGTGCCACCGGGGAGGCCCCAAAATAGTGTATTTTTTTAAGGTTTATTTATTTAATCATACAAGAACAGGGGTATAGGCCAGAGGTGTGGGGGATGAGAGTGGAGAGACTGGAGAACAGAACAGGCAGATTGACTGAAATACACTGCTGAGGGGAGCAGTGGTGGAGTCAGGAGAGGTCTGCTGCAGATGTGGGTTAGCTCCCTGGCCAGGGATCAAACTCGTGCTGCAGTGGCTGCCGATTGTTTCATTGTTTCCCTGTCTTAACCACTGTGCCACCAGGGAGGCCCAGTGTATGTGTTTTTAAGTGATTCTCTGAGATGGGGAAGCGTATGTGCAGTATCTCACACCAGATGCTGAGGGTGGGCAATCTGGAGGTTGAGAGGTGTAGAAGTGAGAAATTGTGGGTCGAGGAGCAGAGAGGGCTCCTTTGGAAAGTCAAACTGCAGGAAATCTGGAGCAAGATGTTGCTGTCACAGCAAGAATCAGAGAGAACAAGCCAGATGAATCACAGAATGCCCTGGTGGGTTATCACAACTTACTTGGGAGGGGACTTTGGGTGGGAACCCAGAGCTCTCCCCCTTTCTCTGTGTTTGGTATTTACAGACACTCTGGGTTCTCTTTGGAAATAACAGGAAGACAGAATAAGAAGCCAAAGGTGAAACAGAAGGAGAGGATGGAAAGGGGACCCGAAACCCTTCCAGAGGTGGCTGGAAGGGCTGGGCAGCAGGGCTGTGTTGTCATGGAAACCACCCTGCAGGAGTGTTGTCCCGAAACCAAAGCGCCCTGGGTTGCCAAGGAAATCTTATGACATCTCCTATCAAGGGTACTTCAAAACTATTTTCAGATCCACTGGTAATCAGGCTCCTTGGCGGGAGAGGGGACAGGGAGCTGACTCCATTAACACACGTCAGTGCTTATACACATTCTAGACATAGAACCGTACGTTTATAATTCTAGTTATAAATTCCTTGATATGTAAACAAAATATTTCTCTCCAATATATATATATTTTTTGCATGGAAGAACTGGGGTTAAGGCCAGAGGTGCAGGGTGTGAGAGGATTCACCGGAGACAGAGTGGGGAACAGAACAGGCAGACTGACTGAAATACACAGCTGAGGGGAGCAGCGGGCGAGTCAGGAGAGGTCTGCTGTGCCATGTGGGTCACCTCCCTGGCCAGGATTAAGCAAAGGCCAGAGCGATGATGGCACTGAGACTCAACCCCTAGGCTGCCAGGGAGGCCCTGATGCTGTTTGTTTGCTTTTTTAAAGATTTATTTTTTTTTTATACAAGCACTGGGTACAGTCAGAAGCGCGGGAGGGTGAGAGAATTCACCAGAGCCAGAGCGAGGAGCAGAACAGACAGACTGACGAAATACATTGCTGAGGGGAGCAGCAGGCAGCAGGAGAGGTCTGCGCACCCTGTGGGACCCTCGCCGGCAGCTGGGGATCAAACTGGTGCTGCTGAAGCTGCGGGCAGCTTTGCAGCCCAGCACTCAACTGCTCTGCCACCAGAGGAGGCCCCCCTGATGCTGTTTTGGTCACTCAACCAGCCTAAGAAGACCCCGGTGGGATGGGAATTTGCGTGTGTTCCCATATTAGTAAGGCGCAGGTGAGCTTCTTGGTTGTCACACATCGTTGCTGGGAGAGTTCAGTGCTGTCTCAGCACCTGCCCTGGAGAGAACACTGGGACACGCACCCCTGGCCTCTCCTGGCCTCTGCCCTGTGCACCTTTCTCCTCTGCTGATTTTAATGTGCATCCTTTTGTGCTAGCAACTGTAATTATGGGGCCTCCCTGGTGGCACAGGGATTAAAAACTCAGCACTATAAAACTATCTGCACCCACTACAGCACAAGTTCAATCCCCAGCCAGAGAGCTGACCCACATGGCATAGCAGACCTCTCCTGTCTCGCCCGCTGCTCCCCTCAGCAGTGGATTTCAGTCAGTCTGCCTGCACCCAGCTCTTGTATGAATAAATAAATAAATCTTAAAAAAAACTATAACTGTGACTATAATAGCCTTTCTGATTTCTGTGGCTGTAGCAAAGTGCTGAGCCCCAGGGTGTGCCTAGTGACCCTCAGCACCACATCCCAAACTCAACATGGCCCAAACCAAACTTCTGATTCTTACCCTCTTGCTTGCCCAAATCTGTTCTCCACCAAACCTTCCCCTTAGGAAAATATGGGCATCACCCTCTTAGTTGCTCATTCCCCTTAGCCGTCACACTTGCTTCATCTCTCTTGCACTTCACATCCCATCCATCAGCCAAACAGTAAGTAAAGCCTGATGCTGCAGTAGGTACTTAGAGAAAAGTGCACATCACAGGCACATAGTTCGCGGATTTCTCACCATCTGAACACACCTGGAACACCAGGAACCAGAAACTTCACCAGCTTTCCCAACCCTGCAGAATCACACACTTCAAGGCATTAGATATTGCACAGGAAACCACCCTGCTGACTTGTAACTGCGTAGGTTACTTTTGCCTGTTTTTTGCATCTCACACACAGAATCATACTGCAAAGGCTGCTGTGTGTCTGGTATCTTTTGCTTAACCTTACAGTGGCAAGATCCATCTATGCTGTTGTGTGACTGTCTATTGGAACATGTACCTTCGCATTCAATCAGCTGAAGCCTGTTTTTTCTTTTTTTTTTTTTAAAAAGATTTTTTTTTTATAGAGACATGTTTTTATTTATTTGTTTGTTTGTTTGTTTTTTTGTTTATACATGCACTGGGTACAGTCAGAAGCGCGGGAGGGTGAGAGAATTCACCAGAGCCAGAGCAGGGAGCAGAGCAGGCGGAAGAACCGATGTACACTGCTGAGGGGAGCAGTGGGCGGCAGGAGAGGTCTGCGCGCCATGTGGGACCCTCACCCGGTGGCCGGGGAGCAGCCGGGGATCGAACTGGCGCTGCAGAGGCCGCGGGCAGCTTCGCAACCCAGCGCTCAACCGCTGCGCCACCGGGGAGGCCCTGAAGCCTGTTTTTTCTGTGATGTATGACAGGTTTTTGATTTAGTTGTTTGATCTTGCTAAGGCCAGTTCCCAGATGGAATCCACACTGCAGGTTTTGGTTGAACACCCAGTCCAAAGTTACACTTCACGATACCTTTCCTGTGTGAGCTTCCTGAATCTTCCAAATGACTGTATCAGGAAGATTTTTATTGGTAATTCCTCTTGTTGAGAAGTGGAAACTCCAAGAGTTCACATTACTTGTCTAAGTTTGCAGAGTTGGGGGTGGCATTGCAAGGTGTTTCAGGAGGACCTGGCAGGAATCTGCAACTCAAAAGGACTCCTGGTTAATCAGCTATTAACAAAGTTATTGCCCTGAGCAGCAATTTGAGGACACCAGCAAGGGAAAGTGAGGCCACTAACCCTCAGGCCTGGAGTTAGGGAAGGAGGCTGGGGAGGGGAACAAACCAGAAATTTCTAGAAGTTTCTGGATGATTCTGGAACCTGGGGATTGTTGCTGCTTGAGAGGGCTTTTGTTAAGAGGGTCGGGGATTGGCGCGGGGCGGGGAAAGACAGCGCTCATTCCCGTAGCTCTCTGAAGTCTGGTGTCAGCAGCCTCAGAAGTCAGCGCGTTCCACCCGCTCCCGGCTGTTACTGAGGCGCAAACTGAGCAGAAAAGCCTGGGCCTGAGGGGCAATCGAGGAACAAGAAGGCCCCTCGCTGGGCGAGCAGCTGCACACCCGCAGCGCCACCGACGGCGCAGCCCACGCGCTCGCCCGCGGCGGTCGGTTGCCTTGGAGACCGCGGCGCGGCGGCGCGGGAGCGAGTGCGCAGGCGCGCGCTGCGACGCCGCCTCGGCTCCGCGCAGCTGCCGGGATCGAGGCGAGGCGCCGCGTGACGCGCCAGGGCCGCAGCGAGGCGGGCGCCGCTTCCCGGCCCAGGCCGCGCCGGGGAGCCCCGAGCCCGCGCTGAGCGAGCGGCCGCGCCCCGACGGCCTCTCCTTGGCCGGGCTGAGCCGTCGGAGGCCGGGCTGCCACGTCCCTGCCGGGGCCAGGCCCCAGGAGCTGCCAGGGCGGTGTCGCCGCTTTGCTGACACGTGTGAGCCCCCGGGGCGGGCTGGGGGCGGCGGGCTCGGGAGGGCGAGAGGCCCGCGGCGGAGCGGGCAGCGGGGTCCTGTGACCTGCCAGGGAGTCTTGTTATAGGGCAGCCCCGATGTTGAACGGGTTCCTGGCTGTGGGTCCTCACCCGCGCGCTTAAAAGGGACTTATGAATACTCCACTGCAGGCACACACAAAAGGTTAATACAAGGTTTATTTACAAGGGAAAGGAAATAAGGAAAATGCACAACTCAGGGAGAAAATTAATGCGTCCTACCCGATCCGCCGACCTGGAAACCCAAAGGCACTCTCAGAGCTGGCCGGATGCTGCGAGCTGGCGGAGAGCCAAAATGGGGGGCCCCTCCAAAGCCCACGTGTCTGGCTTTATACCAACCTGGCTGCTTAGCCCCACCCTCAGGTCCCAGCCACCTTCCCTTGGGTGGTGACGGGATTTGGAGGTCCCAGTGTCTTTGGCTTGGGGTGGGGGTGGAGTCCACAAAGCCTGTATGGACTTAGCTTTAGGACATCCTTTCCCCCTAACAGTCTGACTTCCCTCTCCCTTTCCCTTGCAGGATTGAAATTTGGAAGCGCTGTCGACCCCGCATCCACCTCGTTGAGTCTTCTCTGGACGTGGGCTTAGAGCCACCTGGTGCCCGCGACCATGACGATGAACCTCTTGGAGGACTGGTGCCGGGGGATGGATAGGGACATCCACAGGTCCCTGCTGGTCACGGGCGTCCCGGTAGACTGTGGCCAACAGGAAATTGAGGAGACCTTGAATGGGGTCCTCTCTCCCCTGGGCTCATACCTCGTGCTCAACAAGTTTTTTGTGAGACAACAGAATGCTAAAGCTGTCCTCGTTGAGGTCGGAGAGGGGGTGAATCTGAGCACTGTACCCCGGGAATTCCCAGGAAGGGGGGGTGTCTGGAGAGTGGTCTGTAGAGAACCCACCCAGAATGCTGAGTTTTTGAAAAATCTGAGTGAGTTCCTGGAGTGTGAGGGGCGCACCTGGGAGGATGTGGTCCGCCTGCTTCAGCTTAACCAACCCCCACTGCCCCGGAACCAGAGTCAGCGCCCAGAGAACTGGGCAGATGCTTTGGGGATGCTCCTGGGGGCGGTGGTGCAAATGGTCTTCTACTCAGCTGCTGAGGTCCACAGCCAGGAGGAAGCTCAGGCCCAGCAGGCGGCTGAGGCCCAGGCACTAGCAGCCTCTGCTAACTCAGCAGCGGTAAAGGTCAAGAAGGAGCCAGGGCGTTCTGAAGAGGAGGGCTCTGCCCGGAAGGAGAATCTTCACAGCTTGGATAACCTGGAAGCTGAAGGTGATCCCCCCAAACCTTTGGTTCATAAAGCTGGCACCAGCATTTGGCCCGGGAGAAAGAAGCAGAAAAATACCCCCAAACAGGAAGCAGTGCCCTGGAAGAAACCTAAAGATGACCGTTCTAGCAGCTCGGCCTCCTTGGGGGATCCTAAAGCTGATGAGGCGGAAAGTGTGGAGATCTCAGAATGCATCAGGAGCTGCAGAAAGCCCTGCATGAAGCAAGAGGAGTCGGCTCTGAAGAAACCCGTGGCAAAAAGTGCCTGGAAGGCTCCCAGCCACCCTGCGCAGGATGCCCGGTCAGAGGCTGAGAGCCCGGGAGTTGCCTGTGAGTCAGCCCAAGATGGCGCTCAGGAGGGCCCACCGAAGAAAAAGGCCATGGGCTGGCCCTCAGCCAAGAGCCCTGCCTCATTGAGGAAGAAAAAGAAGGTGAGCTTAGGCCCTGTGTCCTACGTCCTTGTCGACTCAGAAGAAACCAAGAAGAAGCCAGCGATTACAAAGAAAAGTCACGGTTCAAGAAGGGGCGGCTCCGTTCACGAGGCCTGGCGAAGCCCTCCACCACCTGAGTCGACAGCCTCGACATCCCAGGGTCACACGGCGAAGCCAGAAGGCTCGTCTCAGGGCTCCAAAGGTGAGAGTGACAACCAAAGTCATTTGGGTTGTGTCCACAGTGGATGAGGGGTGACCTGCAGGAGAGGCCAGTGGGGGCAGGGCCCAAGGGCAGGGCTCAGTGAGGAAGACCCCGCAGTAGTTAAGGTCCCAACCTCCCTCCTGGGAGCCTCTGAGGGCCGATATTGGAGGAGCCTGTGTGAGGACGGGGAGGTAAAGTAGACCCACTGAATTGGCTGTGACAAACTTCTGGGGTTACATTGTAGGGTGGGTGACTCTTAAGAGTGGGGTTTTATGGGTGGGGGACTGAAAAAGAGACCCAGAGATTCCAAGGAAGTAAAAAATTTCCCCGTGGCACCTTTCCTTCCTCTCTTGAGCTGTCCTCATTTGTCCACAGCATCCAAAAAGCATTGATGTGGGGGATCGGCCATATCTAAGGAGTTGAAGAGCGAGGAAGACGTTCCAAGTCGGGAACCAAGTTTTGTCACTGAATGAACCAGGACTTTGGACTCTTAGGAGGCAGTTTGGATAGCTCTGGCTCTGAGGCAGATGACGGTGAGATCTGGGGTGGGAGGAATTCAGGGAGGCAGGGGCATCTCTGCTTCCTTCTCTGCCAGGCCTGCTTCTCCACCTCCTTCTTGACTCCCCTTCAGAGGTTGGCAAGTCATTAGTCAGTTTAGGAAAATTCTAGAACATTCCCCTTTCCTCATGGGCAGGGTCCCTGTTATGGTCATCCATGTTCAGCCATGCGTCCCCCCTCCCTGGTTCTCTGCAACCTCTTCCAGATGGTCAACCAGCCTCTGCAGGGCCAGGCGTTTTGAACCGTAGGTTTTCTCACCTCTGCTTTCTCTGTGCTGCAGCCTGGGGTGAGTTATGCTGAGATCTTTGAGGCCAACCTGCCTGCATTGTTCCTCCCAAGCTCTAACTTCCACCCTCCAGTCATCCGAACAGAGGATGGTATGGCCCTAAGAGTCCATATTGGTTGGAAAATTAGTCCACTTAGACCTTGCATTATTCCTGAGTTTTGAGATTTTGTTAATTAAAATGGCACTTCGATTCCTGGTTGGGATAAATAGGAAATTGCGGTGTGATTGGTCATGACGTGCTTGGCCTTTCCTGGTTTACCGGCTCTAATTCCATCCATCGCTGTAAACTCAACATCTTTGAGGCTGGAGATCACCTCTCATGGTACAGAGCAAGAGAGGGAAATAACGATTTGAAAACTGTTCATTTTTGCCCCTAAACAGAGCAGTTTCCAGATTTTTCTGGGGGGGGGGGCCAAAGATGTCACCCAAATCTATTTTTTCATGTATTAGGGGACAAAGCCTGTGACAGATGACTCCCTGACTGTCTCGTGAGCCAAACCAGTCACTTAGGAGACAGGCCCATGTCCACTTGTGTCCCGAGGACACTTGCTGTTGTCCAGATCTGGGGGCAGTTGATTCACCATCTGCGTGCAGAGCAGAGCTAGGCCAGGTGCCTCCAGGAGCAAATCTCTGCAGAGTGGGCCTCACTCTCCCTGAAGGCGTCTCCCCAGACCACGGGCCTTGCTGGTCAGGGTTCTCGGCCGTGTTGCCCACGGTCATGATGGTCTACCAGAGAGCCTTTCAGCCCTCGATGGATTCAGGGTCTCTTACTGCAGTGTTTGTGATAAAGAGTGTGAGCACTTGTTAGATAAGTTAGCGATTCACCTTGGAAAAGAATTTCGTGCAGCATTTTCTTCCCACACCCTGGCCGAGTCTAACCGAGGATGCAGGAGAGAGGAGCTGTTGGTCTGGGTCTGTGGGCCTCGCGTTTTCCCTGGGGATGTGCAGACAGCAGGAGCGCGTGGGACTCCGGTGGGGAGAACCCGCTGGGCCCCAGCTCCTGGGTGGAACTCAGGTCCATCAGAGCCCCCCCATGTTCACACGTGGCCCCACGGTTAGTAAATGTAAATGTCTGTGACAGAATAAAGTTGAAGTTAAGTGTCTGTCTAGTCTCTCTTGTTGGCGAGATGGCGTGGCTTGAGGAACTTGAGAAAAGGGTTGTCCCGATAAACCACACATGCTCCCAGCCCCACGGTAACTTTTGTCAGTCCTAGGGGGATTGTCCAGTTTCTGGGGGGCTAGATGCCTGGTCTCTCTGCTGTGTCGCCTTCCACCTATGTGAGGGGCTCTCTCACAGAGCTTGGAGTTTCTGGAAGTTTCTACAATAGGTAACTGGTGATGTGAATTACCTAAAAACACTCACTTATTTTTCAAAGCTGCAGGGAGATGAGTTCCGCCCTTCGTTTGGAAGCTGAAGTCTTTCAGCTACAACTGTCCGTTTCTTCTGCCCACGCTCTGTCCTGTTAAGGACACCTGAGTGGTCGCAGCCTCGGAGTCACCTGTGGTCTTCGTTAAAAACATTTCTTGGCCTCCACCTGCTCTGTCGGGATCCCGTGGAGGGGTGCTGTCCTGGGACGCTTGTCCTCAGTCGTTGCCCCTGAGAATTCAAGGCACATGTGGGTGGAGAGCTCTAGATGGAATAATTCACACTTGAGGAAGGGAAGGGTCCTTAGGGGTCCAGATCGGCGTTTTGTGAAAGGTGTTGGGTTGCCAGGGAGGGAAGGGACCAAAAAGGAAGCTGGACTTTGAGGACGGGGAGTTACTTGGTTCCTGGAATTCCCCTGCAGAAAGGCCCAGCGAGAAGGCTGAGTTCCCGGTCCCTTCCTGGTGCCCCTCTATGGGAACAGCCACATTTGGCCCACATCTTGAGGGCCTCTGGTCGCTCCCACCCATGGAGAGTCTGGCAGGCCCACTGGCTGCGGCCGGCGTGCGGCAGGAGCTGGTGGGGACCGGAAGGCAACCTCTCCTGGGAGACCTCAGAGGCCCAGTTAGAGGGAGCACACTCCGCTCAGGGCTGCGCCTCAGAGCCAGGCTGGGACAGAGGCCCCCTGGGGAGAGGGATCTGAGAAGCTGTGGCCCACACCAGCAGGACGGCCAGGAGGTGTAGCTTCCTCACTTACTGATCTTCAGTTGGCCAACTTGGAGGAAGACACGGACTCCCCCTGGTGCATGCCCTGGAGGGGGCCCTCACACAGAGCTTGTGCTGATACGCAGGCTGTTGTCACCTAGTGGTGGGCGTGTGGCCTGACAAATGTGTTGCTCCGTGATTTTTTTTCCAACTGAATGATTTCAGATCAAATTTAGTATTTCTGTAATTTATGATGACGCGAGCACCCTGTCTTGAGTCTGTCCATGGATGTAAGTGTTCCTGGGGAGCATTTCAGCGCCTGCTTCCCTGCGTGCAGTGGGTAGGGGGGTGGGGGTGGGGTCGCTGGGCAGGTCTGGGAGGAGTTGCCATTTTCTTGACTCCTTCCTTCCCCTTCAGGCATTTCAGCTTTCAGCTTGCATTGGACAAAAGCCTGGGTCTTACCGCAGGAAGATAAGCCCACTCGATGCGATGCCAATTCTCTTTCAGGCATTGCACCACCAGAAGGATCCGAGCCCTTGCCCCGTGTGGGAGGGTCTTGACACATTCAGAACAGTTCTGTGGGCCTCTTGTTCAGCTCCAGCTGCTCAGAAGAGCCTCAGGAATCTGGTTCCCACCACTCCCTAGGTTGGTTTTCCCTGTGGCTTCCATTCTGTGGTGACAGGGAGCTGCCGTCAAGGTGGAGCTGTCTGATGGGCCCGCAGAGCGTCCAGCACAGGTTCTGGTGGTTTCAGTCCATGTCCAGGGAGACTGCTGATAAGCTGAGTCCAGATCACATGTCTTCTAACCAGAGTGGCTCAGGGAACATCGTGCCCAGACGGGTCAGCCTGGGTCACGTGCCCTGTGATGGTGCGTGCAGGTCTCGTCATGGCATCTCCAGACGTCAGTGGAAGAGGGAGGGGCTGGCTTCCAGGAGGAAGGGGTGCAGGGGCAGAGTTGTTGCTGAAGATATGCTGTCAAGGTTGGGAGCAAATCTTTGGTCTTCCAGCTTGGAGTGGGTGTGTAAAGACCCCAAAAGGCAGGCCCCACCTCAGAGACTAGGGGTGGGTAAAGGTGTGACTGGGGGTGCGTGAGTTTCAAGCCCGCTCTGTTGACTGTGACCTTGGGCTCCCAACTTCCCTTCAGGTTTTCTGTCTGTGAAATGAGGCTTGTCCAGTGCTGACCTCACAGGGCCCTTCTGGAGTGGGGAGACGGAGCCCACAGTAGCCAGGTGGGGAGGGGCTTTAAAATCTTTCATGACAGGCATCACAAGCAGAAGGGAAATAAAATTTTTAAAATATATTGTAAAGAAAAGAAAGGAAGAAAATCATTGATTTTGATTTTATTTCCCCCTTTGCTCCTTTTCCCACCTTGGGAACCCTGCCTGTGAATCCTTTTTTTTTTTTTTTTTAAGATTTATTTGTTTATGCACACAAGAGCTGGGGTGTAGGCCAGAGATGCAGGGGTGAGAGGATTCACCAGAGATCGAGGGGAGCAGAACAGGCAGATCTACTGAAATACACTGCTGAGGGGAGCAGCGGGGAGACAGGAGAGGTCTGCTGTGCCATGTGGGTCAGCTCCCTGGCTGGGGATCGAACTCGTGCTGCAGTGGCTGCAGGTAGCTTCATAGTGCTCTTTTTTTTTTTTTAATATTTATTTATTTATTTATACAAGCACTGGGTACAGTCAGAAGCGCGGGAGGGTGAGAGAATTCACCAGAACCAGAACGGGGAGCAGAACAGGCAGAAGGACCGAAGTACACTGCTGAGGGGAGCAGTGGGCGGCAGGAGAGGTCTGCGTGCCATGTGGGACCCTCCTCTGGTGGCCGGGGAGCGGCCGGGGATCGAACGGCACTGCAGAGGCTGCAGGTAGCTTCGCAACCCAGTGCTCAACTGCTGTGCCAACAGGGAGGCCCCATGGTGCTCTATCTTAACCCCTTGCGCCACCAGGGAGGCCCCATAGTGCTGTCTTAACCCCTAGAGCCACCAGGGAGGCCCATTGTGAATCCTTTTTTTTTTTTAAATATTAAATTTTATTTTTATATTCCCCCATACAATTGCAAACGCCCCATTCTAACCCCAATCCTTCCCCTCCCGCCCCCCCACCCCCCAAAAAGTGTCTCTGGTTCATAGTTTTTTGTTGATTTTGATTTTCACTTTCTTATATTCATTTTCCTGGTCCCTTATTTAAGTTTTCTAGATTCCTGCTATGAGTGAGACCATCCGGTATTTTCTTTTTCTTTTTGGCTTATTTCGCTGAGCATGATCCCTTCCAGTGCCATCCATGTTGCTGCAAATTGCATGTGTTTATCTTTTTTGAATGCTGAGTAATATTCCATGGTATATATGTACCACATCTTCTTGATCCAGTCATCTATTTTTGGGCATTTGGGTTGTTTCCAAAGCTTAGCTATTGTAAACAGTGCTGCTATAAACATAGGAGTGCAGGTGCTCTTTGGAATTGATGTTTCTGTGTCCTTTGGGTAAATACCTAGGAGTGGAATTGCTGGATCATATGGAAGCTCTATGTTTGGTAGGTCCAGAAATCTCCACACAGCTCTCCATAGTGGTTGGACCAGTTTGCACTCCCACCAACAGTGCACAAGAGTTCCTTTTTCTCCACATCCTCGCCAACATTTGTTGTTGCTAGTTTTTTTAATATGTGCCATTCTCACTGGTGTGAGATGGTATCTCATGGTAGTTTTGATTTGCATTTCCCTGATTACAAGTGATGTTGAACATTTTTTCATATGTCTGTTGGCCATTTGCATTTCCTCTTCAGAGAAGTTTCTTTTTAGCTCTTCTGCCCATTTTTTGACTGGATTATTTTCTTTGTTGTTGCTGAGTCTCATCAGCTCTTTGCAGATTTTTGTGATCAGTCCTTTATCATTAGTGTTGGGTGCAAAAATGTTCTCCCAGTTGGTGGGGTTTCTCTTTGTTTTTGTTATTGTCTCTTTTGCTGTGCAGAAGCTCTTTAATTGATGTAGTCCCAGCTGTTTATCTTTGTCTTCACTATCACTGCTTTGGGTGATGTGTCTGTAAAGATGTCTTTGATGTGCAAATCCCGTAGTGTTTCGCCTATATTTCCTTCTATGTATTTTATGGTTTCAGGTCTTATGTCTAGTTCTTTAATCCATTTTGAGTTGATTTTTGTGTATGGTGTGAGGTAGTGGTCAAGCTTCATTCTTTTGCATGTAGCGACCCAGTTTTCCCAGCACCATTTATTGAACAAACTTTCTTTGCTCCAATGCATAGTCTTTGCTCCTTTGTCAAAGATTAGTTGACCATAAATCTGTGGGTTTATTTCTGGATTTTCTATTCGATTCCATTGGTCTGTATGTCTGTTCTTGTTCCAATACCATGCAGTTTTGATGATTATGGCTTTGTAGTATAGTTTGAAGTCTGGGAGTGTGATGCCTCCATTTCCTTCTTTTTTTTCAGTAGAGCTTTGGCTATTCGGGGTTTTGGTGATTCCATATGAATTTCATCAATAATTGTTCTATTTCTTTGAAGAATGCCATTGAGATTTTGATTGGAATAGCATTGAATCTGTATATTGCTTTTGGTAGGATGGCCATTTTAATAATGTTTATTCTTCCAATCCATGAGCAGGGGATGTCTTTCCATTTCTTTGTGTCTTCTTCTATTTCTTTTAACAGTGTTTTATAGTTTTCTTTGTATAGGTCCTTTACCTCTTTTGTTAGATTTATTCCCAAATATTTGATTTTTTTTGTTTCGATAATAAAAGGGGTGGTTTTTTTGATTTCTTCTTCTTCAGATTTATTGTTTGTGTATAGGAAGGCTACTGACTTTTGCGTGTTGATTTTGTATCCTGCCACTTTACTGAATTGATTGATGAGTTGAATTAGTTTTTCTGTGGAGATTTTGGGGTTCTCTATGTATATTATCATATCGTCTGCAAATAGTGATAGTTTGACTTCTTCTTTTCCTATTTGGATTCCTTGGATGTCTTTCTCTTGTCTTATTGCTCTGGCTAGGACTTCCAGTATTATATTGAAAAGCAGTGGTGAGAGTGGACATCCTTGTCTTGTTCCAGATCTTAATGGAATTGCTTTCAGCTTTTCACCATTGAGAATGATACTGGCTGTTGGCTTGTCATAGATGGCCTTTAT